TTTAACTAAAGCATTCTCCTTCCAGCTTCTCAAGCCTCCAGAGGGGTTTTTAAAGGGGGCCCCGTATATTTTAAAATTTTTAAAGGGGCAATCGGGAAAACCCCCTTCATTTAAAATATGTTGGGGAATGTTTTTTTTCTAAAGAGTGGCAAAGTTTTCACAGTCTCAAAAACATCCACTCCCCAACCCCAAACCCACCAAAACCCAACTTGTTACCCCCCCAGCTAACACCTGGGGAAGTAACACAGGGTAGAGGTTTTTTCTTGCTAGAACAATAAAGAGCAGTCGATCCGCAGTTTTTTATAGTTACGCTAGCCTTCAGTGCAAAAAAACTGGGTTTTTTTTTATCAAACTTGTATCTAGTCCCCCTTTACGCCTCCCCTTTTTTTTTTTTTTTGATTTCAGCCGGTCATTTCTTTGTTCCCCCAAAAAATAGGGCCCAAAACACGAAAAAAAAAAAAACGGTGGCCCTCATTCAATCCCTAGGGGCCGTCCAAAACCCCCTTTAAAAGGGTTGGTAGTAGGAAATGGGGGGAAATTTTTTGGGAAAAAATGGGCTGGGGGAAAAGAACGGTTACACATCGGTTTGTAAGGCTGATAACCTGTCTTACCTGTAAATCTGCACAAAATTCAAACTTGGACTCGCCCAGAAATATATATAGTCCCTTATATCTATATATATAGGCCTGTATTGGACAACATTATTATGTCTGCCTTTTCTGGTTACTTTAACTAAACTCCACTTTTTAAATGTATATCTTTTGGGGATATATTTAGGGAGTTAATTGAGGTTTCTTGGAAACCGATTTACTCCTTGCCCCAGTATACAAGGAACTTCTTTTGTACCAACGCCTGAAATGTCTAACTGACGCCATTCTCCTTGCCAGCTTCTCAAGCCTCCAGATGTGTTAATCTGTGCCTGTATACTTTAAATTTTCAAGGCAATCTGGAAAGGTCTCAGTTTTACATATGCTTGGGTAAGTTAATTATAGTTTACGAGTACCTAGAATGTTGTCTGTAAAGTAGTCACTGCTGTAGAGAAATCCATATCGGCTGTGTGATCTCACTTAGTTCTACCATTCTTGATCGCTAGAGTAGCGGATTCGAACGTAGATCTTCCACTGTACAGACTAAATAGCTTATGCACTCAATAAACCACCCATACTGATAAACATTTAATGCCCTTACTATTGTGTACGTTTTAAACTACTTACAGAATCTGTACATACGAGATGGGGACAGAATTGGGTCAGGGCTGTGTTAATCAAAGTATGTGTGTGCTTGACCCAGATCAATGAGTGCTGGGGCGGTTGGGAAAACTAGTGAATACAGGTACTGACAGTAAATATTGGGGTTTGTGTGCAGAGTGAGGGGGATAGGGAGAGTGATATATGTGTTAGACCACTTTATCTATCTCCACTGTATATCTGACTTGCCTTCTCTTGCACTAAACAGACAGATAAATATAGGAGACTTATGTCTTTTGGTCTGGAGAGGCAATCTGAGGAATGAAACAGGAGAGCAGGGAGGAGTCAGCAGATGGGGGTTGATGACTATGCTTGCTCTGTCTTTCCTGTCAAGATGTTACCCTCTTGATGATGACTAATGTTGAGTTATTTTCTTGACAGGATGTATATTTTCTGAAGAGCTGGCAGAAGATTCACAGTCTCAACAACATCCACTCACCAACATCCAACCACCAGAAACAACTTGTTACCAACCAGCTAACACCTGTGAAGGTTCCTGACATCTCCAAAAATGGGGGAGATTGTGCCTCAAACAGCTACCAGTGCCAGAGCTTAATGTGGCTCAAAGACATTGTGTGTCCTTACTGGTGATAAAGACTTGCTAGATACCGGTACAGTTGCTGTGTAGTGAAGTACTCTTGCTACTTGATCCAGTGGAGCAGAATTCCCAGAGTCAAAGACAGTCAAATCATCCGGAGCTGAGGGAGGCATCATAGACAGAAAGAAGAGAAGATAAGTCTGATGCTTCGCATGATGTTGTGTTCCTCACAGCTCCTAGATTGTCCAGTGATGAGAAGATGTCATCTCCAAGACCTTCTGTCTGTGTAGATCCTAGTGATTTGGACATGATTTCCTGAGATCTGGCAATTTGTCTCACTTTTATATATCTAATTTATATTGATTATATACATTCATTTTCATGGCTGACTTAGGTGTCTCTATTTCACCGTTTTTAAGTGTTTCGCAGTTGTGTATGTATGTGTATCTTCTTTATATGTGTTAACATGGTTATGATAATGAACTATCATAACCTGGGGGCTTTCTTTAGTAAGTAGTGGGGGTGTCCAGCCAAGTGTGCCTAGAAATATATATATATATATATATTGACATATTTTGTAGTGCCAATACTTGAGTTGCCCTACTCCAGAGATAAGTTGATCGTATATTGGCCACGGGGAATCCCTTAGACCAATACGAGCCAAACGACTCAACAAAATTATCTCTGAGTGCTGCTGGTCCTGAAGGAGAAATCCTTACATTAGGCACGCGACAGGAGTGATATGTGACAAAGATGTTGATGAATATGTGTGTTGTAGCAAAACAGTTTAGCATAGGATATTGGAGTACTTCTTGACAGTAGAAAGGTCTGAGGGGAGGAAGGCAGAGGTAGACCGAGAAAACTAATGCTAGACGGATTGACATCATGGCATGTAGGATCTGTGTCAGATTTGATTGAAAGTACACGAGACAGAAGGTTGTGGATGGACATGACTACCAACGCCACCTGGACTTTAAGAAGAACAAATTTAATAGTAGTGAATTTTTTTTTCTCACTTAGTCAAACATTAATTTTACTGCAAACATATATCTCTGTAAGTACTTCTGTCACTTCCTTTAGCTCACACAAGAAGATTCTCAGCACAGTACACAAACACTAGCACCAACAAGGACCTAATTGTGGATATAATAGAAATATGTATTTTTATAAATATTCATTTGTTGGTAGATTGTTGCTGTTATTGTATTTTTCTTCTTCCGTATTTCTGATTTCATCTCAGTGTCAAAGAAAGAGCTGCAATGATTTAAAAAAAAAAAAAATAAGTGCCAAATATTTCAAAGTGACAAGAATAATAAAAGAAAGTACTCACTGCAGTTGCCAGGTAGATTGCCAAATTGGCTTCGTATGTAATCCACACTGAGCTTGTGTTTGAAATGGTAGTCAGGGCTGCCTCTACAGCAGCCTGGTCATACTCCAGCACCTGCAGACATCATTTATTATACAGTGAATCGCTATCACGTAGCAGATCATAAGCAGCTCCTCTTCAGAATATCACTCTCATCAAAGGCAGCCTGAAAGAAACTTGATCTCTCGGCAAATCTCACGCCTCGTGATTTTCTTCTTTCCATTTTACCCAAGGGGTCACTCACATCCTGTGCTCATTTTAACACTAGTTGGTCACTGTCCCTTTTCCCCGCTACTATGCCTTCTGCATTTTTTTTTCCCAAATCTACTGTGGTGCTTGATATGGCTTAAATATTGCAGTTTCCAGGACAAGATGCTGTTTACTAGTCAATCTTCCTTGATGTTGAAATTCTTTATGATGTCAATATTTCTGTCTTCTTTGCTCACGGTATTCTAAGAATCTCCCTAAAAGTATTTCAGCTTAAGCAACCCTATTTTCTTCCTTAGTGACTGGGAGATGGTCCACGACTCACATCCGTAAGTTGCTTCAGAGAACATGATCCACGACTCACATCCGTATGTTGCTTCAGAGAACATGGTCCTCGACTCACATCCGTAAGTTACTTCAGAGAACATGGTCTATGACTCACATGCGTAAGTTGCTTCAGAGAACATGGTCCACGACTCACATCCGTATGCTACAGGGAAGATGGTCCACGACTCACATCCGTATCTTGCTTCAGGGAGGGTGCATGCTCTCAAAATTTTGATTTTGATTTACTTGCCGATGCTTGACCATAGACGTTTAATACTGATGAAAGGCACTGGACATCCCAAGGAGAAAGGAGATAACCTATGACATCAGAATGAGAGTTAGCTACAGCGTTAGATTTTATGAGAAGAGTACAGGTTAAAATCATTCAGTCCTTAACATACCAACAGACAGTTTACTCCAAGAAGCAAAAATATTTATAGTTAGTCGAAATTGAAAAAGAGGCTGCTTACGTTAATAATGAACAAATGGGAAAAGGATAGTTACTGGGAACCATTTTAAATGAAACACATAGATGGGCATTTAGTAAATGTCCCTTTTCATTTCAGTGACATATCCGGCTTCTTGTGTTTGACTCATATTTCAAAAGACAAGGTCATGTTCGGAAAAAAAGCGGACTCGATGTGGATGTGAACCCAAGAACTTTGAGGATTTACTATATTCTCATTATCGGGGGTCTCAGTGGTGAAGTGGTCAAGCTGTTTGCCTCATGCTCTGAAAGTCATAGGTTTGTTTCATGGCTGCATCTTTTGGTTCACAAGAGCAATTTTTGCAGATACTCCTTATGTTCGTCGCAGTAGCTACAGTGTTTGTACTCTGAACGCTGTTTTACTTAGAAAGACTAAGCCATATGAAATAAAACCGGGTGCAATGACTTCAACTTTTTAAACTGTGTGCAGGCAAGCTAAGCGTCTTGACGCTACTGTGCCACTGTGGCTACAACAAACCGGGCCTGTCCCATTGTTAATACTTCACCTTTTCACTGCAAGACTTCAAGGTACAAGAGAAACAGGATTTGAGGTTTAGAACAACAGATCAACATCACGACACCAGGTAAGTAACTCATAAGTGCTCCGTTCTTCTTCTAACTCAAGTCTGAGTCAGAAGAAGCTCAGCACAGTGCACAGGCTCTGTAGCACCGGCGTTGATTCTGAAATACTAGATTTAATCAACTAGGTAGATTTTTAACTCTAAATTTTGCCCGGGTAGCGCCGTTAGGCTACTCTTTTTGATTTCCAACTACCAATGGATTTTTTACGTGTGTAACAATACACACGGGCTTCCGATCTCACTACCCAGAGACCAGCGGGAATTACTAGAAGTCCAAGTCCACGTGAAAAAATTCCAACCCGGAACCTCATGCACTCGAGGCTGACACCATGCCTCAAGACCACTCAGCCCCACCCCCTCCCCTCCCCTCCGAGAAACAGGATGGGATCGTTGAAATATCCCTTACCTCTACACATGAAGAGCCTTGGCCTGCACATGACCCTGTCAGGGATGTTTCCAAATGCTGCGCTACAGTTATGTTGGTTTCAGGATCACTGGGCTCAGCTGTGAGTCTTTTATCTTTGTCAATGATGTATAGTCTGTGAAACGATTACAACGACTGACAATATTATATACTGATAAATGTAAGGATTCACTGTCAGACTTTCATATCCATCATATATAATGTGGTGCTATTACTTTTGTAGGATTTAAAAATTATTACTTTTTGTAATTGTGATGATTAGTATCAAATGTGATGACTAACTTACATACTCGTATTTTCAATTATAATATTATTTTATTCCAACAATATGTGTATTCTATCATAATGGTAAAGTCGGGAGATGTGAACCAGCGTCATTGCACACGGTTATAAACCATAAGTGCTCTGTCACCAGTACGGACAGCTGATAAGAACCTGTCCGCCTGTGTCGCCGTCCGCACACAACTTCCTAGCTACAGCGACGTTTCTCTATTTACCCCAGAGTGTCAACTCTGGTACCAGTTACCTAGAGGCTGGGTGGACCGCCCGGTTTCGAAAACTGGCTTTGGCCTGCAGCGTGTCGCAGCTGGATTTGAAAGCAAGTCTCCTATCGACTCATCATTTTATTATAATGGGTGTGTGTTTATGTGTGTGTGTGTGTGTGTGTGTATGTGTGTGCGTGCGTGTGTGTTTCAGTTCTAACATTATTTCAGTTTTAACATGCCATTGAACACTGGAGTCCACTAAGAATGTGGAACAAAAGTAAAATGCACTGAAAAATAAATGCCTGATGAAACTGGTGAATATTAAATGGGATGAATTCAAAAAAGCGAAGGAATCTTTGAAATACCTGAACAGCCGATGCTCTCAAAGTTGAAACGCCAATGAATATTTATGTGTGGGAAATGTGTGCGCACATGCATGCATGTGTATGTGTATGCACGTGTCTATGTAATATTTTGGGCATATTCTGAGATGAATCACGCAGACAAAAATCACAAAACAGACACTGAAATGGGAACACATAGACCGAGGAAGTGAGAAAGTCCAAGACAGTAGTAAATTGCGGAATGCACAAAGTATGACTGAATGAAGGAGTCGGCTAGGCTAGGCTACGATGTTTAAATAACACATAAGTGTTAGATAATGATAGTGCTGCTGCTACTTCTTCTCCTCCTTCAGCCGCTGAGTCCTTGAGGTTCACTGCTGCAGAAATCCCCCGCCTCCATTCATCTCATTGATCTGCCTTCCCTTTCAAACTGGACACAGCAAGTGTTTACAGCTCTGCCTGTTTATTATCTCTCTACTGACTCTGGTCTTTTTGAGGGTTATGCTCATACAACGTTTTAGTGTACTTAGTTGTTGTCTCTGTTATCTCCTCCTTCTTCTTCTTTGTTTACCAGCTGTAAGCTCCAACGCAAAGTCCTGGTTGTTAGTCCATTTGGACTTTCACTTTGTGCCAGGACCAGCGTTTTACGTGTACATCCTTTTAACTGGCTTATTTGTGCGCAGTTGGATGTTTCTTACTGCTCAGGCCGATGCACTAAGACTTGAAGGAAGCCCCTATGACTCGACTCTGGACGACATTCCAGGTGGGGAGACAGTAGTCTATTCTTCTTATCCCCACAATAGGAGACAGTAGTCTATTCTTCTTATCCCCACAATAGGAGACAGTAGTCTATTCTTCTTATCCCCACAATAGGAGACAGTAGTCTATTCTTCTTATCCCCACAATAGGAGACAGTAGTCTATTCTTCTTATCCCCACAATAGGAGACAGTAGTCTATTCTTCTTATCCCCACAATAGGAGACAGTAGTCTATTCTTCTTATCCCCACAATAGGAGACAGTAGTCTATTCTTCTTATCCCCACAATAGGAGACAGTAGTCTATTCTTCTTATCCCCACAATAGGAGACAGTAGTCTATTCTTCTTATCCCCACAATAGGAGACAGTAGTCTATTCTTCTTATCCCCACAATAGGAGACAGTAGTCTATTCTTCTTATCCCCACAATAGGAGACAGTAGTCTATTCTTCTTATCCCCACAATAGGAGACAGTAGTCTATTCTTCTTATCCCCACAATAGGAGACAGTAGTCTATTCTTCTTATCCCCACAATAGGAGACAGTAGTCTATTCTTCTTATCCCCACAATAGGAGACAGTAGTCTATTCTTCTTATCCCCACAATAGGAGACAGTAGTCTATTCTTCTTATCCCCACAATAGGAGACAGTAGTCTATTCTTCTTATCCCCACAATAGGAGACAGTAGTCTATTCTTCTTATCCCCACAATAGGAGACAGTAGTCTATTCTTCTTATCCCCACAATAGGAGACAGTAGTCTATTCTTCTTATCCCCACAATAGGAGACAGTAGTCTATTCTTCTTATCCCCACAATAGGAGACAGTAGTCTATTCTTCTTATCCCCACAATAGGAGACAGTAGTCTATTCTTCTTATCCCCACAATAGGAGACAGTAGTCTATTCTTCTTATCCCCACAATAGGAGACAGTAGTCTATTCTTCTTATCCCCACAATAGGAGACAGTAGTCTATTCTTCTTATCCCCACAATAGGAGACAGTAGTCTATTCTTCTTATCCCCACAATAGGAGACAGTAGTCTATTCTTCTTATCCCCACAATAGGAGACAGTAGTCTATTCTTCTTATCCCCACAATAGGAGACAGTAGTCTATTCTTCTTATCCCCACAATAGGAGACAGTAGTCTATTCTTCTTATCCCCACAATAGGAGACAGTAGTCTATTCTTCTTATCCCCACAATAGGAGACAGTAGTCTATTCTTCTTATCCCCACAATAGGAGACAGTAGTCTATTCTTCTTATCCCCACAATAGGAGACAGTAGTCTATTCTTCTTATCCCCACAATAGGAGACAGTAGTCTATTCTTCTTATCCCCACAATAGGAGACAGTAGTCTATTCTTCTTATCCCCACAATAGGAGACAGTAGTCTATTCTTCTTATCCCCACAATGGGGCCCGTACCTACACAGGGATCTTTGTTTTTTCTGAATTTGAGGCTTTGGATGAGATAAGGTTTTAGGAAGGTGGAGTTGGGTGTCATTCCCACGCCTCAACCTCCACACGCCCCCCCCCCCTCCCCCAACATGAGGACCAGAGTGTCTCTCTTTATCTGTACTCTACACTTTGACCTGTCCAGCTTAAGAGGCCCTGTTTATAGCCATGCTAACACTGGCATAGTTCCCAGGGTCATTGAGAAATGCAAGCTTCCTCCGCTGTAGCAGGGTATCCTGTGGCTGAGGATGTTGAATTACGAACACAAAGATTTGTATTTATTTTTAAGCAAAGGTAATGGTCAAACCTGACTTTCTGTTGCTCCACAATAGCATACGACAAGAAAAATGGATTGTAATCGATGTCAGAACCCCTTAAGTTGAAAAGCCCTGAAAAAAATGGAGAAATAACGGTTTTTCAATGGTTTTTCAATGTTCTTTCAATGGTTTTTCAATGGTTTTTCAATGTTTTTTCAATTTTTTTTCAATGGTTTTTCAATGGTTTTTCAATGATTTTTCAATGTTATTTCAATGGTTTTTCAATTATTTTTCAATGGTTTTTCAATGGTTTTTCAATGTTTTTTCAATGTTTTTTCAATGGTTTTTCAATGTTTTTTCAATGGTTTTTCAATGGTTTGTCAATGTTTTTTCAATGGTTTTTCAATGGTTTTTCAATGGTTTTTCAATGTTACTTCTGTATTCTTATAATTGGTCCTGATGGGGGCCAGACTTTTTTTTCTCGTCAGAAATGACCTTGGCTCCCAGGTCAGCCCAGCCTCGAGTGGGTACCAGGTATAGTCCTGGGAATGTAATTTTTTCACCACCAAGTGACTGGTCTATAAAATAGGTCCAGCCCTTTCAATGGCTCACTGTTTTTCAATGGTTTTTCAGAAGCTTGTGTTTTTCAATACGTTGTTTTAGATTTTATTATCTTTTTAACAAGTTTTATGAATATATTGATGCATGCTGTGAATTTGGACTAACAATCAGCAAAAAGAAGACAACGGTTATGGTGCAAGGTGTGAATGATAGAGCTGCAGTCTATACTGATTGTGGAACACTTTTCTTAACGGAGGCGCGTCTCGCTAGTCACACTCGCCATCACCATGGGCTGAGAGTCTCATGCCTCCTCATAGTGCAATGTAACACTGGAAAGACGGAAAGGTGACAGTTGAACTATGAAAATAGGATTTTGGTATCATATATGTGATGAGGTTAGTTGCGTATCCTTTACAGGACGTTGCAGAACCAACCCCAACAGCCCCTGGCTGTTGTCTGGTTTTTCTAGGCAAATTTACGTCCTGTAGTTTGCCATTGCTCTCTGGATGGTCGGCTTTCTTGATACCACTGTCGAAACCAATGCAAGGCGCATGGCCCGCAGCTGGGATCGAATCCGGCATCCTGGCGTTACGAAGCGTTCACATCGACTTAGCCACAGAGCCGACATATTTGATGTGACACTGACGTTAAAGGGGTTCTTTACTTTCGTCTTCTTCTTTACGTCCTCTTTTATCTCTTCGGGTGTCGAGGGAGATATGAAGTTCTGCTTCGTGCTTTTCTTGCTATTTCGACCAAAGACCCATCATGGCACTGTAAAATTTCACTGTGGTTATCCTTTCATGTAGTTCTTGGTCTGTCTCTTGCTCTACGTCCCTCTCCTCTTTTGGTATATGCCTTGAATGGTATAGCATCAGAAGGCATTCTTTCCAAATGGGGAAACCATTTGATTTGCTGTCTTTCTGTGTAATTTAGATCTTTGCTTTCCCTATAATAAACACTCAGTCGTGCTTTACAGCAATTGTTTAGCTTTACAGTAATTGTTTATTGTTGTATACACTCACAGGGATAAATTCAAAAGGAGTAAAGAAATGAGAGAAATGTATGGGCGACCATTGAGTTGACAGTTATGAGACAGAGAAGATGGCACTATACTAGATGCATTCTGAGAAGAAGGGATTAACAGAGGAATAAAAGGAGTTGAAATGGGAAATAGAAGGAAATAGAAGGACTGATGAAACAAGTACGTCCACAAGAAAGCCTAAGGAAAACGTTGATGAGAGAAGCTAGAGGGCGTGGATGGATTCGATCTATGAAATCTAAGTGATGGTACTGGCTATCATGGAATGGAGCAGTAGAGTGTGAGCCATGTTGAGTTGAGTTGAGTTGAGTCAAAAATTGACATTACATCACCCGGGACATTCCCATGTGCGCTACGTCCTCATCTTCAGCAGCCAGCGCAGAGTTCCAGTACTGATGGTGCCGATCACAATCTGGTTATATGTCCGTCTTCCTTTTCTTTGAGTGGAGTGAGCCGGCCAGACCCTCTGGTTACATCCAGGTGCCTCATTCTCTCCATAATAATGTGAGCTGAGCCCTATGTGACGTATAATGGTAGAACAGGACAATTAATGAATGAATGAATAAACTCACAGGCAGTCTCATCCAGAGCAGTGACAACAAAAGCAGCTATGTTCCTTCTTGTCAGTCTTTCCTGAACATTCGCAACTTTTTCCTGCCAGCGAACGCCTAGATTTAGGTGAGAAGATAAATAACTATTACACATCCTAAACAAATGTGTCCCTAATATTCTCATTTAATTGATTACCTTCTTCTTCTTCTTTCGTTCTCTTCAAATAGATTATCTATATCTGCAATGTTGTCATACATAAGTGAACTAACAACGAGGACGTTTGTGTAGTTCACTTGTGTTAAAAAAAGGCTGCCGGGCCGAAACGTTACGTTACGTTGTGTTGTTTTGTTCACGTTTTTCTGCTTCCCCATTTTGTTGATCTTTTTAGTCAAATTTCTCTGGAATTCCTTGTATAAACTTGACTGCAGTCATCCCCATATTTTCACCAATTTTGTCTCTAGTATGAACTTCACTGTCTTTTGTAATTCACTCAGCGACCCGTACAGTTTGACTAGCACCGATGTTTCTCTTGGCCAAAAGTTTTGCTTTGATATGTTGAATTTAGGACAGTCTTGGAGGACATTGAATTAATTTTAATACTAGCATCGTTAATATTCAAACAGGCTTTAATGTATTCAGTAATATTAATAAATGTAATAAACAAATAGACAAGAAGTGATGCGCACCCATTGATAGAAGTACAAAAGAAGAAAAAGCACAAACTTGACAATATAAGAATCAGAGGCTATAATTACCATACCGCAAATCAAACCTGTTGCCCCCAGATGACGACAGAGCTTTGCCACAGGAGCAAATGTACTAATGCACTTGACCAACTAGACACACTTTTTCAATAATTTAAATAATGGTGGTGAGGAATGAGTCAGCTAGGTAGGGATAATGAAGATTTACATTCTTTGACTACTTCCGCTGTTTCCTCTCATATTTCTATTTACCTCGCTTTCAACCGCCACATCTTCCTCCTCCTTCTCCACCCTTGCTTCTCCTCCAGTGTATTATGAGAGCGTATGTATGCCTTCTTCTTCTTCTTCCTTCTCCCATTTCGCTTTTTGCTTCTCCCGTCTTTCTTCTTTCTTCTTCTTCTCCTTCTCCTATTTTTCCTCCTCTTCCTTTTCCTTAGGCTTATTATTTTTCTTGTTTTTGATCTTTTTCATCTTTGTCTCCTTCTTTATCTCTTTCTTCATTCTATTTTTAGGGAAAGAGTATTATTACACTTAATTTAAATCTTCACGGAAGAGTGCTACAGCGAGCTATGCACCTTAAAAATCACTTTTGTTTAGTCTTGCTTCAGTATGCATATTTGTAAGGTTGAATGTTAAATGTTGAATTAAGAATCGACATCAGCGCACTCGGGACACCCGCATAAGCAAGCGAAGAGTTCCAATTCCGATGGTGTAAGTTTACTTTCCCTAAACCTTTTGAATACAATTCAATGGGCTTATCTGCCACAGAGATCAGGTTGTCTTTCACAACAATCCTGCGGGTGATATATCACCTTGATTTGCTTTTTTTTCCTCCCTGCTTTCAGCTGTCATGGGATTTTTAACTTTAACATAGGTATTCCTGTTTGCTGAACCTTAAGGGGAGGGTCTAAGATGAAAATCGTAAATTTTGACCATTTTGGGTTTCCATACACAATTCACATTTATCCACAGTAAAAAACAGCTGTGCAAACGGGGTTGAAAAAAGAATGTGTTTTAATTAAACAAGAAAGGTTTTATATCTCTGATCTCACTGTGCAAGATATTATGCTTATGAATGGTTGACTCAAGAAATAGCACTCCTGCACTAAGGGCATTTCTACAGTACTCCGTCTCCTTCCTTAGTAGCCATCGAAGTCAGTATGCTAGTAGTCCAGCTACAATCTGATTTAAAGTCTGCCTGATTCCCACTCAGTGTTAAATTTCTTTCAGAACCTCTCTGGTGAATTTAGTCTTTCAGGTTGAGGATACTATGTTCTGTTGCATAGCCCCCTTTATCCCAGAGAGCCTTCACCACTTCCACTTATCATAAAGTAGCTCACCACCCATAAGAGCAGCGACAGCCAATCTATTGGCTTTCTCATTATCCCACATGCTGGAATGCCCTAGATTAAGTGTATGAAGTAATTTTTAAAAAAATAGGTTGTGTTTAAAATAAAACTGTAAACAAATGCCTAACCCTAAGCTGAGATTTGAAAATATTAACATCACATTTCAGTTTTTATTCTGAGCCCATACTGTTGTGAGAGCCACAGTTGTGAAGTGGCTAAATACTTGCCTGTTGCATTAAAGTCTTAGATTTGAATCTGGATCAAGGTGGATTTTTATACTTGAATTGGTTTCCAAGTAGACCTAGCCTAAACATGGGTACCAAGAAATGTCTTAGGAAGTAATGTCAGTCAGCAAGTGTGCGGTTGTCCAAATCATCCAGCAAGTGCTGACTGGTTATTGAAATATGGGTTTAATAATTCGCTGATATGGTGTGACAATGTCCTGAACTTTATCTTTTATTTTCTGCTGTTCACACTGTTTCTAGTTCCCCACTACCAGCATCATAGAGAGGATCGACTTCACCGCCCCCGCAAAAAGGGCTAGCTATCTGTCGAGAGTGTCACACAAAGCACAAACTCCAAAGCTCCAGTGACAGTCCTCGTGAATCTCTGCAAAAATTGCACCCTCGAATTGCAACTGTGCGAAATGAGCCCAAGGCCTTCAGAGCGTGAGGCAAATGACTAGATCATTTGGTACTGAGGCCTGCTAGTAATAGCATCCTGATCAATGGCCCGTAACACCGCATACCACTGGGTCAACAGTTGCTGCTGAGCGATTGATTAGCTCCCTTTTGCCCTAAAATAGGTAAAAATGAGAGTTGCACCTAATTGCGCCGGGTTTTATCCTATGTGGCCCAATCTCTCTCCGCTGAACACCTAGCTACCTGCTGAGAGCGTCGCACAGAGCACCACCTCCGTAACTTCGGCAACAATTCCAAGGGATCTCTGTAAAAATTGCACTTGTGAACTGAATGGCGCTGCCCTAAAACGAACCCACGACCCTCAGAGCGCGAGGCAAACGACTTGACCACTTCTACACGGAGACCCCTTCTTCCTCTGTCTGTCAGATGCAGTAAACTGAATTTTCAATTAAACGACGTCTATCTAGCCAGACGGATTCTGTATCCAGGTCCTTGTTAGTCTGCAACGTCTTCCCGGGGCGGGGGGGGGGGTGGGGGCGGGGGGGGGGCGGGTGAGCGGTGCGTGGTCTCGAGGCATGGCGTCCATCTCGAGTGCTGGAGGTTCCGGGTTCAAACATCGATGAAAGTAGGATTTTTTCACTTGGACTTCTAGTAATTTTCCCTGCTCTGTGGGTAGTAAAACTGGACGCCCGTGTGTATTGTTGCGCACGTAAACAATCCGTTTGCAGTTTGAAATCGAAAAAGAGTAGCCTTACGGCGCTGCCCTGGCAAAATTAAGAGTTTAAAATCTACCTAAAGTATTTTAGAATCCTCGCCGGTGCTACGGAGTTCGTGCACTGCGGTGAGCTTCTTCGGACTCAGGCGTGGGTCAGAAGTAAAACAGAGCACTCGTGGGTTACTACCCTTGTATGATGTAGATCCGTCGTCTAAACCTTCTCCTCTCTCCCTTTACAGGGCCACGTAGTATTTGTCAGAGACATTTTTGGGACACCGCTGACAGAACTGTCTTCAACAGAGTGCTAATGAAACCGGGAATCGAAATATGACAATGGAAAGCACTTTGTGGAAGTTTTCGACGTGGTCGACATTGACTTTAACCGCTGCACCCATCCTTGTGTTAGCGTCTCTCGCTTAGGCGTTGTGAAAGCATTCGTAATGTCGGGGTGCTGGGTTTGATTCCAGCTGCGGGCCTTGTGCCTTGCGTTGGTTTTGACAGTGGTATCGAGAAGTCGACCGTCCAGGAGGCAATGGCAAACTACTGGACGTAAATTTGCCTAGAAAACCCACAACAGCAAAAAATGCTGCGGTTGGTTCTGCAACGTCATGTAAAGGATACGCAGCTGACTTTAACCCATCCTTGTAGAATATCAAAAGCCAAAACCTAAGCTGTTAGTCCGTTGCGAAAGAAACGGTCACTGTTCATTCATTCCCCTCTCTCTCTTTCCCGTTCAACACCGATGTCCAAAAGTACACAGGTGCACAAAGACATGTCTACAAAAAACACTAGGTCCATGACAGCAGCTGGTCTAGAACTTGGCTTGCTCTGCGGGAAAAAACCAGCATACCCGAAGGGAAAACTTTAGGTTATAACTGTGACTAGGTTATGTGTGCCATTGTCGGATGCGGATATGCACTAAAACACACCAGTACTGGCTGAGCAAATAGGACGTCAAAACAATACGTAATATTGTTAAGGAATTGTAATTTGAGATTGGAAGACGAAGTTGGACCAAGGCGGACGTGTAGTCCGGCCTTGGTGCGGATCCTTGAGGACGCTCTACCCCGAGATTCCATCAGAAACCTCAGCAGAAAGCTGGTACACTAATTAATGCGCTCGGCAGGAAGCCAGTACATTTTAAAGGAAGGATTCTCCAGGCCGAATCACTAAAGAGGGGCATTGCCCTGTTCAGACTGCAAAAGAGGAGATCCATGCGACCGTCGGGACTCTCAAGGTCGGACTATTGACCCGTTGTTTGAAAATGTCATATGAATTTATTCAAAGAGTGCGCGTGCGGTAGCGAGTGTCGGCGTGTTTCGGTGAGTCTTCACCAAGAATCCTATTATTTGCACATTTTCTCATTTTTGATCAAGTGTGTTCGACCATACACCAATGGTATCGTTTCTTAGCTTTCAACGTTTAACTGCCGTTTGGGAAGCATTGAAGTTCATTTTTTACATTATAGATGCCCTGTTTCGTCGTTAGGAATTTATCTCTGACTGTTCTGCCACACTGGGCTGGTGGCAGGGTATTCTAGGTTAAGATGTATTCGTTTGTACCTGATTACACATTTCAATGGGAACCAACGCCTCTCAGCACCGGAACGCACATCACAGCCATTTAAAATGTCTTAGCACTGCTCACCACCAAGTAGCTTTGAAAAGAACTCTTGCAGTGTTAATGTGATTACAAATTAATCAAGTAACAGAAAGTGTTGTGAACGGCACTCATAGAAAGAAGTAGAAAGATAGAAGAACACACTAGACAACATAAAAATCGAAAGCTATAGTTACCGTGCCGGGAATTGAACCTGTCACCTCCAGACGGCGTCTGCGCCTCGCCATGAATACAAGTGCACTAAGATACATGGTCAACTCGGCACCCCAAAAAAGGTGTCTCATTGGCCATGTCTATCGTACAACTTGAAATCCACGACTATGGAATACGGACAGAATTCATTTAAACCCATTGAAATAGCACCATATGTGTGATTACAGTAGACAGACCCAAATACTGTCCCGACCGGCGACGAAGGCGTCTACTGGCGAGCCAATTGGTGACCCAGTCACCGTTTATCTGCAGTAGTCAATAGATATTTTTATAGGTAATTAAAAATATAATAGCATGTGATAACAATCCGATCAATTTCCCCAAAAAATAGCACAATGCATACATATCTCACCTAGCGGCGTCCGTGGCTTAGGCGTTGCGAGTCCGATTCGTAATTCCAATATACCGCGATCGAAACCTACTGCTTGTTGCCTGGATTTTTATCATGGTATGGGGCGTCGCAGGTCGCCCCAGCCTAAAATGGGTACCAGGATGTATGTCCTGGGGAAGTAAAGACGGCCAGCGTAATGCCGACCACATTACCGACCTTGTGCCGATTAGCCTGTAAAAATATGGGAGCTCTTTCCAAATGCCCAATGCACTTCAAGGCGTGAAAAAAGGACATTTACTTATGCACATCTCACCTGCAAATGTTATGTTGAGAGCATTGATGTTAGTCTTGGCTTGTTCTGGGCGCCCAGATACCCATGCTTGATCCACAGGGTTGGTTCCAACAGCTTGCAGAATGAGTCCCTTCGACTGCCTTAGAAGCTCATTACTAAGTGAGTTGAAAGATGCTTAAGGGAAAAAATGCATTACAGCGTAAATAACTTTCAAGCATGACAGTAGAATTCACATTTGAACGAAGAAGACGAAGGTCACTGACTCCACAATTTTTTGCCTGACATATTTTGCTGTACCTTGGCATTTGCGAAATTCTTTAACAGTTAAACAGGACGAAGCAAGTAAATGAATCTTCTTAACTTTAAATACGAAATCGAAAACACTTTAATATAACCGCCTGTTTTACTTCTTCTTCTTCTTCTTCTTCTTCTTCTTCTTCTTCTTCTTCTTCTTCTTCTGCTTCCTCCTAATCCTCTTCTCTTCCACAAATTATCTCAGCGAGGTGTTGAGGGAGATATAAGGATCGTTTGTGCGCTTTTTCCAATGCATTGTCATGTTTTACTAGAGTAAACATACGTTTAAAACCATGGACTATGTTATCTCTTCTTTAACAGGCAGTTAAATTGTGCAGTCTGTCACTTGTGTCTTCTTTGTTCAAGTTTACAATGAAGATTACTTTGAAATTCACATAGCGTAATACTATTTTATAATACCTTATTATTATTGATTATTATTGTTGACCCATCAGGATCATTATATATTTTTTCCACACAAATGTTCATTTGAATTTCAGTACAGTATATATCAACATGCTTTTATAAAATACTATAAAATATATAACAAAGACAAATACAGTATTCATATCAATCAATTAGGTGCTGTCTCCACAATATAAGGCGGCTGCATTGGATCTCCAAACTACTCTCTCTCTCTCTCTCTCTCTCTCTCTCTCTCTCTCTCTCTCTCTCTCTCTCTCTCTTGTCTTCAATGCACACTCTCCGACTAATGTTCGTCCATCTCTTGATTTTGTCTTCCAAACTGTAAAGTAGTCTGTCTCTTGCCCTTGACCTATACCTCCAGTATGGAAGCCTACTATGTCTTTCAATGTGGCCAACATATTTGAATAGACTCCTTCTTTTTCAAATTTATTTAAATTATTCTCTTTCTAGAACCTCAGTATTTGACTGTTTTGGTTACCATGAAATAGGACCTATTTTTCTGTTCATCAAAATGTCTAGCGATTCAGTTCGATTTTCTAAGTATTAATATAGAGGCAGGCATAGCCTATCTAAGCCATGTGGAAAAAGAGGCACTTACTGTGTGTGTATAAGGTTCTGTCTACGCCGACATAGGCTCCACTCTCACCAATTTCAATATTTAGCCATTCTGCATAGCTTGGAACATTGGCCAAGCCTGAAAACAGAAACGGTATTTAATTTCTCGATCCTGTGTGCGTTCTGCGTCTCCATTTGGGTAAGGTGGGGGTGGGGTGGGGGCGTGTGTGTGTGTGGAGGGTGTTAAGAATAGACCCACTGCCCCCCTCCCCGCCCCCAACAAGCATGTGGTAAAAGTCGACTATATACGGGTGTCTCCTTTGAAGTCGGAGTGCATCTGCCTGAGAGGCGAGGAACCAACATTCTGCATACAAATAAGCCAGATATGTAAAATGGATGTGCATGCAATACTCGGGTACTGGAATAAGACCAAAATCCAGAAATGGACAAACAACCAGAGCTGTCAAGGGAAATTTACAGCAATTGAACGCTATGAAGAAGAACAATATTGCCCTCTTCTAATCGTGGGTTGTTAAAAATTGCTTTCTTCTAATCTAGGGTTATTAAAAATTGCTCTCTTCTAATCATGGACTGTTAAAAATTGCTTTCTTGTAATCTTGGGTTGTTGCAAATTGTCCTCTTCTAATCTTGGGTTGTTAAAAATTGCTTTCTTCTAATCTTGGGTTGTTGAAAATTGCTTTCTTCTAATCTTGGGTTGTTGAAAATTGCTCTCTTCTAATCTTGGGTTGTTGAAAATTGCTTTCTTCTAATCTTGGGTTGTTGAAAATTGCTCTCTTCTAATCTTGGGTTGTTGAAAATTGCTTTCTTCTAATCTTGGGTTGTTAAAAATTGTCCTCTTCTAATCTTGGGTTGTTGAAAATTGCTCTCTTAATCTTGGGTTGTTGAAAATTGCCCTCTTCTAATCTTGGGTTGTTGAAAATTGCTTTCTTCTAATCTTGGGTTGTTGAAAATTGCCCTCTTCTAATTGTGGGTTGTTGAAAATTATTTTCTTAATCTTGGGTTGTTGAAAATTGCTCTCTTCTAATCTTGGGTTGTTGAAAATTGCTTTCTTCTAATCTTGGGTTGTTAAAAATTGTCCTCTTCTAATCTTGGGTTGTTGAAAATTGCTCTCTTAATCTTGGGTTGTTGAAAATTGCCCTCTTCTAATCTTGGGTTGTTGAAAATTGCTTTCTTCTAATCTTGGGTTGTTGAAAATTGCCCTCTTCTAATTGTGGGTTGTTGAAAATTATTTTCTTAATCTTGGGTTGTTGAAAATTGCTCTCTTCTAATCTTGGGTTGTTGAAAATTGCTTTCTTCTAATCTTGGGTTGTTAAAAATTGTCCTCTTCTAATCTTGGGTTGTTGAAAATTGCTCTCTTAATCTTGGGTTGTTGAAAATTGCCCTCTTCTAATCTTGGGTTGTTGAAAATTGCTTTCTTCTAATCTTGGGTTGTTGAAAATTGCCCTCTTCTAATTGTGGGTTGTTGAAAATTATTTTCTTAATCTTGGGTTGTTAAAAATTGCTCTCTTCTAATCGTGGATTGTTAAAAAAGCTTTCTTCTAACTTGTCTTGTTAAATATTGCACTTTTCTAATCTTGGGTTGTTAAAAAGTGCTTTTTTCTCATTTTGGTTTGTTAAAAATTGCTCTATATATGTTTTGTCATCCTAGTTAGCACTTCAGGGCCCCATTTGGTGGCGGGAGGAGGATTGGGGGGGGGGGGGGGGGGGGGGGGGGGGGGGGGGGGGGGGGGGGGGGGGGGGGGGGGGGGGGGGGGGGGGGGGGGGGGGGGGAGAGAATATACCCACTGACCTCTAACATGCATGTCTTCTTCTTGTTCTTCTTCTTCTTGTTCTTCTTCTTCTTGTTCTTCTTCTTCTTGTTCTTCTTCTTCTTGTTCTTCTTCTTCTTGTTCACTGACAGTAAACTCCGGCTAAAAGTGCTGGCTGTTTGCCCACCATTGGACTCTAGTCTTGTTTCAGAGTGTTGCGTGCAAATTCCTTTTTACAGACCTAGCCTATTTCTATGCATACTGTTGGTTTCCTGTCTCTCTTAGGCAGACACACTGTCACTTCGAACGAAGCTTCCAGTTAGTCGACTCTTACGACACGCTTGTTGAGGATGCAGCGGGTCTATTCTTGTTCGCTCCATAATGGGGCCCCGGTACTCAGACGGGGACAACAAGCATGTGAAAGGGGACGTATTTAGGAGTTTGTTCAAATTGAATGTGTTGTGCTCAACGGCACATACATCATGGCCTAGCTGTAAAATACAACATCATCATCTTGCAGCAGGTCCTTTACAGAACGTCGCTTTCATCACTGTCTTCCTGAAAGAAACTCGATCTCTCGCCAGTTCGCCGCCTCGAGTACTTTCATATTCAAGGAGTCACTTATATCCTGTGCCCATCTTCGTGTTGGTCGACCCCTGCACCTCTTTCCTGAGTAGTGTATAAGTCGTTTACATGTATTTTTTGGCCTAAGCCGCCTTCTTTATTCTTTGTAAAAGATGGCGGCCAAATCAGCTTGGTCTGTTCTGGCGGCTATTCTTTATCCTTAGTAAATATCGATCGGGCGGCTGATGACGGCACGCGTGCTTGGTTTTAGGGAAAGGTATAGGAAATCGATACTTTGTAGGCATTATTATCTTCATAGCTGCAGGTGACAGGTGGCGTTATATAAATGGTGAGGTCAGGAAGATTATTTAGGTGAGCAGCGGGGGGCAGGTGAGGCAGGGGACCCGGGGAGACAGGGCGACTAATAGAGTTGGTGCGGGTTTATGTGGGTGTCTGTATATGTGATTGTATGAGGGGAGCCGTTTGAGACTTGCGATAAAGAAAAACTAGGAAGGCGACGTGGTGACCGGGGATATATTAGAAAGGGCGGTTCGAGAGCCATCATCATCATCTATGTCATGGGAGCGAAAAGTCGATCGCTCATGGATGGTTTGAGCTGTAGTAAAAAAGGACGACAGAATGCTGGGTGTCTGGTAATACTGTTGAGGGTCGAAGAGAAGGGGCATAATTGGCAGACTATCTGACTTTATAAATAAGTGGGCGAAGGTTCTGATTGGTCAGTAGGCTTTTAGTGGTTATTCTGCTGGAGCAGTCGGTTTAGAAAAACTCGGCAGTTGGTGTCGCTCAAAGGGGTACGCCCGCCCGCCCGTACGCACGCACGCACGCACGCCCGCGGTTTCGTTTTAGGGGATAGATACAGAAACCTAGGAAAGTGGTTTGATGGTAGGGAGAAAGTGGGCCTGGGGCGCCATCATCATCATCCGTGTCGTCGTAAACTGTCCTTTTCTTAGTAACGTTAAGCCATTCTTGGTTACTTTCTGTTTCATAAATTAGAGACTAATAGATAGATGTGGATAACTGGCTGTACCTGTATAAGGTGGATATATACATAACAACTTTACCATTTTTATAACTAAGACAAAAATAACACAACAATATTTTTGCGTTTTATATTTCTTTTATTCATAAAATTAAAAGTTGGCGTAGACATCTTCTCTTTGCAAGTGGCCAAGGAACCGAGTCATCTAGAGAGGCAGCAGGTCGGTTGTTCTCGACAGTCTCAATGTGTCGGATGACATGATCCGGTATATATTCGTCCGTGTTGGGGCTGTTCTCGTCAGCGTAGGGTTCTGTGATCCTAGGTATAGGCGGGTAACAAGGAACGGTTAGCAGCTCCAGTCGATCAAACGCTGTCAGGATCTCCGTCTTTAGCTCAAGTAGTTGCTCAAATTCTAGGCGACTTAGTGTCAGTCCTGTTTTGGTGGGAAATTTGAGATCTGCTTTGCCAAAGAAACGTCTCAAGTGGAGTGCGGGTGTTCCTGTATAAAGCGAGACTGAAACAGCGTTCAAACCAGCACCCAAAGGTTTCACCACCTCGTCGCTCCTAGTCACATACACCCAACTGGTCGGGACTGTAGACATCCTCGGTTAGCGGATAACGGCGGCAATAAGAAGACGGTTGCTGCTCAGGCTGTTTATATACCCACAGTGAGCTTGTAGAACCGGTTTTAACTCGACATGTCCGGACTTGTTTTGATGATTAAGGGCGAAACGAGGCGCCAAACTATTCGGTCGTTGACGTATTGTCTATACGAAGACGAAAACGGCTGTAAAACTCGGCGCTGGCGACCACCGCGGCATTTAACCAGAGTAAAATAAATAACGTATAGTCCACAAGTACTGCTCTGTAAGTCTTGTAAGGTAACTGAAGGGTCTGGTCGAGTGGCGCTCGATGAATCTTATAATTTCGACGTGGAAGGGCGGGAGCCCGAGGGCGTCAAAATAGGTAAAACGCCCGACGCCATCGTAGTACAGACCAAGCCAATGCGAACCCGGCTGGTCGCTACCATCCGTATTGATGACAAACGCCGCTGTCTTGTGACGGTTGAAATGTATAGGTAGTTGATCACGGGCCAATACGTCTACTAGATGTGTTCGGCGGACAATGTGGTCAGCAAAGAGTATTTGACGTATCTGTTGCGTGTTCATGATCTTAGGCGTAGTCCAAAAGTACTTGTCGTGTCTTGGAAATTTCGAGTACAGGGTCTTGTTCAGCGTAGACTATAACTTGTAATTGTTCGGCTGTGAAGGTGGCGAACTTAAATTCTATAGACAACGCCCCAGAGCGGGGCATCTCAAACTGGTCTCCATCCAACAGACTAGGTGAAAGGTCAAAGGCGTAGAGAGCGTACCCGTTCTTATAATGTATGTATTCGATATCGTTACCGGCATCTTTACCCACCAGGCCCATAGCCAACATAGTGCCGAAAAACGCTTTCACGTAGCGATTATTCTCATAGTCTGGTGTTAAGGGTTTACTGGAGACACTACGACCGTCGACACTCACGTTTAGATAAGTTAATCCGAAGTGTTGGAAATCGAACGGGTTAGTCTTGTAAGAACCGTTAAAGGCTACAGTGTTAATTAGTCCAATCACTAGTCTGGTAGGTGTCTGACTCAGAAAAAGATTGTCCTGGGTGTGAGACAACATTCCTTTGGGGATAGAAATGGTTTTCAGATTCACTCGTTTCAACGGATATTTGGCATTGGTCTTGGTTAAGGCTTTCTCATGGGCTAGAGAGATGGCTGGATTTAATTGGCTTTTTTTAACCATCAAGGTAGCGTG